GGTCCCTCTGGGGTGGCCTGTAAACAGGACTTACTATCCACGACAGAGATTCGACGTCCCTTTGAGAGCTCACGACCAAATGTAGCGACAGTTGGAGGGCTTGGCGCGGGCACGGACGCGGGCACAGACACGGGCACGGAGCACGAAGCGTAGGCACGGAGCACGAAGCGTAGGCACGGAGCACGAAGCGTAGGCACGGAGCACGAAGCGTAGGCACGGGGCACGAAGCGTAGGCACGGGGCACGGACGACGGCGGTGGCAACCAAGAAGTGCTACCAAATGTAGACGGGAAGGTCTACTGGTGGCTCAAGTGCAAATGGAAAAGTGAATTTGGCGTTCAGGCTAGCTATCTCATCTATCTACGTTCTCCTATAGATCATACAGTCTCGAGCATGAGCATATCCTAGCACATCCTTCGAAGGGACGCTTGATGTTCTAGGGCTAGCCTCTTACCAATAGCATGCAGGGTTCTTGCCACGCGACCCTCGCAAGGGTCGTCGAGGGTGAGGGGCCGCCTTTGGGCAAGGCCCAGTGGCCTCTATTGGCTGCGAACATTTGGCTCTGAGGTTTGCGGTGGCCCGTCACGCTTTCCGACAACCCCTGGATCGGCGTGCGACGGCCGATCCGCACTACAGACGGACCATGGAGTTATCGCATCAGACATGGATATAACGATAAAAGAAAAACCTTTTACTCAAGAGTATAACCTAGGTGTAAAAAACCCACTCGTCCCGTACCTGTTGGAAGGATCGAAATTCACCCAATCGCAGACGCCTGGTCCATGCGACGTGCACAAATTGATTGCGACACGGCCGGCACCGCGGATGCCGTCAACCACAGCGATTATGGCACGGTCCGCGGCCTGGAGATGCTGGACTTTGCTAAACTCGCTATTCCCCAACGTGCGCTCAATCTGCAAAGTGAATTCGCTATGGCGCATTCGATTACGGACCCGTCTCCCGCCTCTGTCGAAGAAAACTGCCCAGCATTCGCATCGGGCTGTCCATTTTCTTCCACGAAGGACGAAGCTAAAGTTTCGTCCATCAGCAAGTGCCCGTTCTTCTCGGAGGGGTGTCTGTTCAAAGGCACCAGCAACGTGCACCACTTGCGCACGATGTTGGAATCGTCGATTCCGGCGTCACATCTGCACCACGATTCCCCACGTACGAATTCTCTATCGTCATCAATTGGAGTCATCACCCGGTGTTCCATAGTCAAAGAGAACGTCATCTCCATGTTCAAGTTCATCCACGACGCGAGTGTGGCGAAGAAAAACGTGCTGGGGGCAGCTTGCCCTGTTTTCTCCACTTCTTGTCCGTTCAAGACGATCATGGTGAACGACCGGGCACTCGTGGATGAGTTGGAAGTGCGGTCGTGGGCCGTGTTTGCCGCCGACGACGATGAAAAGCAGAGCCCCGTCGGTGACGACCAACTCGCCAAAAGCCTCAAGTATGGCACGAAAAAGTCGCACCGCGAAGCGGAGAACGTTCACTTCGTCCGCGAATTTATCAAGGGCCGCATCAACAAAGACATCTACAAGATTATGGTGGCCATGTTGTATTACATCTACTCTGAACTGGAAGCCCTGATGCGCGACGCCGCCGCCAAGGACGATTCGATTGTCGCACCGCTGCACTATCCCGTCGAGTTGGAGCGCACGGACGCATTGATGGTCGACTTGGAGTTCTACTACGGGCCTAATTGGCGAGACATCATTCCAGCACCGTCCATCGCGACGCAAGAGTACATGGATCGCTTGCGATTCGTTGGAAAGACGTCCCCGGCGCTTTTGGTCGCTCACGCCTACACTCGGTACATGGGCGACCTCAGCGGCGGCCAGATTCTCCGTCGGACTGCCATCAAAGCCATGCGACTCGAGAACGGCAACGGCACGGCCTTTTACGACTTTCCACACATCCAAACATCACACAAAGCCTTCAAAGACATGTATCGGCGAACACTCAATACCCTCCCTGTGACGCACGACGTGTCGAGGCAGTTGGTTCAAGAAGCCAATGTGGCATTCGTTCTCAACATGAAAGTCTTTGAAGAGCTAGATGTCCTTGGTGGGTTTAACACAGTCGAGAACCAGCGTGGCGAAGCTGTCCTGCGCCGACGACAGCTCACCATGGCAGGTGAGCAACAGCCCGCCGCTAGTACAATGGACTCCGTTTGCCCCTTCGCCAGCATGATGGGTCAACCAGGCATCAAAGAACTCGCCATCAAGTACCACCGAGACGAGCTCACCGCCGACGAATTCGCCCATCTCAAAGCAGAAGTCGACGCGCTCAAGGCTACACGTTGCGCAATGTGGCTGAAGACGTATGCGTTGTCTGTGGTGGCCGTGGGAGTCGCGATCGCCGTGGGGGCCATGATGCATGCGTCGGTGTGCTAGCAATTGAACGCAGGACCTGTCAACAGCAATCTATACTTCAAGTGCGGCTGCATCGGCCCACGTAATCCATCCCTCATGACTTAAACTCGTCAGGCGTTGTCAGAGATCTGTTCCATGTGACGAGATTCAGCGGACAGTCTGTCGGTCGTGCCACAGACAAACCTGCACTGAGAGAGTTTCGACTCGGGTCTTCGCCATCGTTCACACCATCCATTCTTCACTTGCCTCGTGCTGCTACTCATGCTGGCTTGCCCTCTACCTGCATGATTGTCCACCAAGCCGCGATGCACTTGCACGATTGTCGTCCGCGGTTTCAAACCGTCCGCAGGCGTTTCACTTTTGAAACGGCGACCGCCTCTTCGATCACATTTGCTTCGTGAGCACCACATCGACCATGGCGGACGGCGCGGTGGGGTCGTCGAACAACAGCACACGACTGATCTCAGTGCCCGTGTTAGGAGTACAGCGTCGAGTACACGGACGAGAACCCCGAGGAGTTGAAGTGGCTCAAGCGGGCAGGCCCGGTCAAGATCACGTACCCGAATGGGGACACGTTCGAAGGGACCGTCAACTTGGATCGACTCAAGCACGGTCACGGCAAGTACACGTGGAACGAAAAGACCGACGACGACGAAGTCAAGGAGGTTGCGTGGTACGAAGGCGCGTACGAAAACGGCAAGAAGCACGGCGTGGGCAAGATGCTGTTTCCGAATGGAGATACGTACCACGGCCAATGGACCAACGACACGATCCATGGCGACGGCACGGTGGTGTACAAGAACGGCGACATCTTTAGCGGGTCGTTCGACCACGGCATCAAACACGGCAAAGGCACGTACGAATTTGCCGACGACAAGAGCCAACTCATTGGGAATTGGCACCAAAACGCAATCGTGGACGGCAAGTGGCTGTTCCAAGACGGCGGGTACTACACGGGGCGGTTCGACAACGCGACCCCCATCGGCCACTGCTTGCTCCAGTTCCCCAATGGCCTCCAGCAAGAAGGCGAGTACGTCAAACTCGACACGACCAACGCCGCGGGGGACACCATTCAGGTCCACACGTGGAAGGGCGATGCCATCACCAAAGTGTTTTAACCCAGTGCTGCAACACGTATTGTTTCTCGAGGCGTTGCCGAGTCTCGCAGGAGACAGTGTCGCCGTAGGTGTGTCGCATGCATACGGGGCGCCACGGCAGTGCCAAGCTAGGGCCGCATCCCCCATCGCCGTTTTGCCTGGCACCACCCACAACGCTAGTCGAGTCGCCCATACCACGTGACACTCGGCATGAGAACCATCGCACCATGGAGGAGGTGAATGAACCTGCAGATTTCGTGCAAGCGTACCCAGCGCGGCATCTGTCGGCGCGCGAGAGGCCGCATCGCCACTTTGTTCAGGGCTTCATACGCCAAGGTCCCCCCCCAGGACGAAACGTTTCTATTTTTGGCAAATGCATGGGATGTGTGACGCCGTGCGTCGGCGTTGTTCTGGAACACCGACCTTCGGAGCGACCGGCGCCTTCATGGCGGTCCACCAGCGCACTCGACAACGTGCCGATCATCGACCGCGCCACCATGGACACTTCCTGGCTCGGCCTACTGTCGTCCGTCCCCGACGATAACCCCAACTGTATCGTCACCGACGACATGTTGTACCTGGACGGCGGCGACCTGGCGCTGCCAAACAACGCCGACGACCTGCTCTCTATCTTCGACATGGACGTGCAGCCCGTGGTCGCGTCGTGGACCGCCACGATCGACACCCCCATCCCAGCCACCCAACCGATTCAATCGGGGACCGAGATCGATCTCTCGCCCGACGAGCTCGAGTTCTTCAAGAGTCTCGATATGCCTCTGCTTGCCCCGATCGTCCAAATTCTGTCGCAAAGAGGTCCCGCCAAGCGCCTGTGCATGGTCGACAACTGCACCAGACACGCACGGACGAAAGGCATGTGCTCCCACCACCGCGCGACACATGCGCCGGCCAACACATCAAGACGCCTCTCGATCGGTGGTAGATGCACCGCGTCTGGATGTACGAGAGGAGCCATTGCCGATGGCGTGTGTAGAAAGCATGGCGGTGTGTACCGATCACTGTGACGGCAGTACAAATGTCCCCACTAACTTCGAAACACTCGGCTCGTTGGATGCGTCAAGGGGTAGTTCGGATCGCCCCTTTTGGATGTAGAAAGCATGGGCATGCACTTGAACGATGCGTGACGCAATCTATTGAATGTACGTCTTCAAGAATCGGCGGTGAAAGTCGTTGCGGATGGTGTCGTTGATGAAGCGCTTCTTCGTCTCGGGTTCGTGCCGCGTTTGGTTCTTGAACACGACGTCGTCGTTCCACTTGCGCTTGATCGTCGCGCTGCCCGTCGGATTCTTACTCTGCTGCGACGTCAGGGGGTTGCCCAGCAGAATCTCTTCCTTGCGCAGGCTCTCTTCGGCGTCGCGATCGGCTGCCTCCTTCTTCAATCGCTCCTCTTCCCGTTCCTTCTTGATCTTCTCCAGTTCTCGCATGAGTTCTGCTTCTTCATCTTCCGAGTCGTCGTCGTCGTCCGAGTCGGAATCGTTATCGCTGCCACTGTCATCCTTCCGCGTGTCGTCATCGGCATCGTCGTACTGGGACTGTATCTCCTTCGCACGGTCCTCCCACTCATCTCCCTTTAACAGGAGAAGTTTGTTCTCCTTCAGGCGTAGAATCTTCTGCTGTGCGACATCGACGACCTTGTCCTTTTCGGCTTGGTACTGGCGTTCGCGTTCGGCCAACTCGCTCTTGAGGTCGCGACCTTCGAGTTCCTCGACAGTACCCTGCCCCATCTGTCGCGTCTTGAGCTTCTTGTGGGCCGGTAAGTCGCGGGCCGAGAATTGCATGCTCACTTGACCACCAGAGTTCCATCCACCTTCATTCTTCTGCCCCACGGCAGCATTCCACGTCGGGCGGGCGGCAGTCGTCATGTCACCGTTTCTTCTTCGCTATTTATTATATATATGGCGGACCTGCCAGCAGAGAAATACCCGAAAATCTCCCAAAATCCAACAAAATACCCGATGTACAACCTCAAAATCCGGTATTAAGTACGCATAAGCCCGGTATTACATAGAAACCTCGAACCTAAAACAGCCTGTGCCACTGGTTCAAAGTTGCTGGGAGCCGCAGAAACAACCGCAGCTACCTACCACACACGACCATGGGCCCTCGAAAGCATTCCCGCTCGTCGTCATCGTCGTCGTCAGGTTCTAGTCGAAGCCCCTCACGACATCGGAGAAGTCCTTCACCAAAACGCCGCTCCAGCGAGCGATTTTCGCGAAGAAGCGGATCCAGACAACGCGACCGACGCCGACGAGACCGATCCCATTCGCCCAAACGACCTCGAACGACGCGAGATCGTAGTAATGACAGAGATGGAGGACAAGGGGACCGACGTCGAGATCACGATGACAACGATCGGCGACGCCGCCGTTCTCCCCGTTCACCAAACGTTTCTTCCCGTGACAATGCAAAAATGAGTAACAAGGAGAATACCACGCCATCGTCCACCCAAGACGAGCAAGCACAAGCACCCAAAAGCAAGACTGTCAACATCCTGACGCAGGACACACGCAGCGGTCGCACCGGTGGGGTGTACATTCCTCCATTCAAGCTTGCGCAAATGAAGAAGGAAGTGGAAGACAAAACGTCGCAGGAGTACCAACGTATGACGTGGGACGCGTTGCGCAAGAGCATCAACGGGCACATCAACAAAGTCAACGTTTCCAACATCGCCAACATCATCCCAGAGCTGTTCCAGGAAAACCTCGTGCGTGGCCGCGGCCTTCTCGTGCGTTCGATCATGAAGGCCCAGCTTGCATCCCCCGGGTTCACACACATCTACGCAGCCTTGGTGGCCGTCATCAATACAAAACTTCCCGAGAACGGCGAGCTGCTTGTGAAGCGCGTGGTGCACCGCTTTCGCCGGTCGTTCAAGCGAGGGGACAAGGTCGTCGCGATCGCTCTCGTTCGGTTCATTGCGCATCTGGTGAACCAACAAGTCGTGCACGAACTTCTCGCACTGCAGGTGCTGTGGCTCTTGATCAAGAACCCGACAGACGACTCGGTCGAAGTTGCGGTCAACTTTACCAAGGAATGCGGCGCCATGATGTCGGAAGTGTGCCCAGAAGGCATGCGCGGGATCTTTGAACGGTTCCGAGGCATTCTGCATGAAGGCGAGATCGACAAGCGTGTGCAGTACACGATTGAAGGCCTGTTTGCGATCCGCAAGGGCGGGTTTGCCGATTACCCGAGCGTCCACGAGGCGCTGGACCTGGTCGACTCGAACGACCAGATCACGCACGAACTCGGTCTCGAGGACGAAGTGGATGTTGAAGACAAGCTCGACGTGTTCCGGTTCGACCCGGAATTTGCCAAGAATGAAAAGATGTGGGCCGAGATCAAGAAGGAGCTCCTTGGCGAAGACAGCTCGGACGAGGACGGTGAAGACGGCGACGACGAGAGCGGCGACTCGTCCGAGGACGAGGGCGAGCCGACCCAGCAAGTCGCCAACAACAAGGTTGTGATCCACGACTTCAGCGAACAAGACCTGGTCAATCTCCGCCGCACGATTTACCTGACGATCATGTCGAGTGTGTCGCATGAAGAATGCGCGCACAAACTTCTCCGCCTCAACATTCGACCGGGCCAAGAGCCCGAGATCTGCTCCATGCTCATTGACTGCTGTGCCCAGGAGCGCACGTACCTGCGGTACTATGGTCTTCTCGGCCAGCGTTTTTGCCTCGTCAAGCGCGAGTACCAGTCGGCCTTTGACGACAGCTTTGCCAACCAGTACGCGACCATCCACCGCCTCGAAACCAACAAACTGCGCAACGTGGCCAAGTTTTTTGCGCATTTGCTGTTCTCGGACGCGCTGCCGTGGACGGTCTTTGAATACATTCGGCTGAACGAAGAAGAAACCACGTCGTCGAGCCGCATCTTTATCAAGATCCTTGTGCAAGAACTGTCGGAGCACCTTGGCGTCCAGAAACTCAAGGACCGCTTCCTCGACGAGTACATGGTGACGACGTTCGCCGGGCTCTTCCCCAAGGACAACCCGCGCAACACCCGCTTCGCCATCAACTTTTTCACGTCGATCGGTCTGGGCGGGCTGACGACGGACCTCCGGGAACACCTGAAGAATGCTCCAAAGATGCTCATGGCCGCCGCTCCAAAGGACGATTCGTCGTCGGACAGTAGCAGCAGCAGTAGCTCGAGCTCGTCCTCGTCGAGCGGGTCCTCCTCCAGTGATTCGTCGTCCAGTGACTCGTCCAGCGACAGTAGTTCGAGTGATTCCGACTAACTTTGGCCTGCCTTGTATGTACTTGCTGCTTGAAACCCACTCTACAGTCCAACGCGACGAAAAAAAGATGTCGGCAACACAATGCATGGTCCCATTTTTGTTCCATCGTCGTCTACACATACGAAGCGTACCTCGTGATCGTCCAAGACAGACTCGGCAAGGAACGGCATCGTTCGCTCCTGGTCGTTCGCACCGCGCGCGCGCTCGCATGGCCAAATGCCGCGCCGCGATGGCTCCCGACGGTGCCGGAATCGACGAAAAGTGGAAAACCGTTCAATATATTTCGGCTGGTCATGTGCGGATATTTCGAGTGGTTTCATCCAGAGGATATTTTTAACTGTGGAAGGAGGCAGGGCGCACTAGTCGTTTCAGGACCAAGTGCCCTCTCGCGCTGACACCGACCTGTTGTGCTGCAAGATGGATGAAAAGTCTCGACGCCCCGAAGGTACACGCACATCGGCCTTGTAGACGCATGCAACTCACATACGCCATCTAGACACACCGTTCAAGCAGCAAAAGCTGAAGGCTTGGCAACCCATCTTGACCCCGAACTGGGTCATTGGCACCTTCTTCGTCGTGGGATTGATCTTCATTCCCATCGGGATCATCCTGCGTCTTGAATCGGACAACGTACGCGTCTTCGACAACAACAACACCCCCCCATTCGTTGACGTCGTCGTGTGCAGGTGGTGGAATACTCGATCCAGTACGACGGCGATGGAAAGTTGGACGGCACTGCGGCGGATTCGCTCACGTCGATTCGAAGCGTGAACGGCGCTCCAGCTGCATGCGCTCTCGGGGACGGAGACGGCAACTCGTTCGACTTGAATCGCCACGGGTGTTTGCTCACGTTCAAGCTGGACAAAGACATGAAAGCGCCAACGTTCGTGTATTACCAGCTCGACAACTTTTACCAGAATCATCGCCGATACGTCGCGTCGCGCAGCGACGAGCAGCTCCGAGGGAACCAGCCTGGCACTCGGTCGGACTGCGACCCCATGCAGATGAGCCCCGAGAATACAGTCAAGTATGCCGACCTCCACGACACAGTTGGCACAAACGGCACATGGAACTTGAACCCATGCGGCCTCATCGCCAACAGTTTGTTCAATGGTACTCGCCGCCAATGCACACGGCGCCTCACGTGTTTTTCCATCAGATATCTTTTGGATCAACAGCGTCACGACCCCGTCTGGGGCCCGGTACACCCAGACGGATACGTACCCCGGCACGTCGGTGGAAGTGGTCAACCTGATGAGTCAATCTGGGATTGCGTGGAAGAGCGACATCGCGTCCAAATTTGATAACATCAAGGAGGCCGACCGCCGCCCCGACGAAATGTACTTGTGGCAGAACCCCAACTACCGCAACATCATACCCAAGGGCCCGGGGATTCCCCGCGTCCTCAACAAGACGGCATGGACGACGGACACGAATGCCAATTACGGCGTCAAGAGCGAGCACTTTATCGTGTGGATGCGCACGGCAGGGCTGCCGAACTTTCGAAAGCTGTACGGACGCATCGACACGGATCTACCGGCGGGCACAACCCTCGAGTTCCTCGTCTCCAGCAGTACGATTGTCGTATTGTCTAGCGTGATGCTGACGAGTCGAGTAGACTTTGTTGTGTCGGCGTTTGAAGGGAAAAAGTCGCTCGTCGTGTCGACCACGAGCTGGTTCGGCGGCCGCAACCCGTTCCTGGGCGTCGCGTACATCACCGTCGGGTCCCTCTGCATGGTTCTCTCGATCCTTTTCTTTGCCAAGCACAAGCTGTCGCCGCGGAAACTCGGCGACACGAGATACCTCGTCTGGAAGAACAACCAGTAGGACGACCCGGCCGGCCATGCATAAACATGTATACATTACACTGACGACGTGGTTGGGGCGGTTCCCTCGCTCAGTTGGATCCCCGGTGCGTTGGGGGGAGTTGCGGCACCCAAGGGAGGACGGTACACGTCACCCACTCCCGCGTTATGCTGGAGAGCGATGGACTGGATTGTGGCGGGAGAGGCAGCGTCTGCACCGCAAGTATTCAATCGAAGGAGGGAGTGAGGCGTCCGCGCACAACATGTCTAGGTCTATCATGTGGCCGACACAAGTCGAAACAGTGCTATCTGGTGGCTCAAGGCTCGCCTGCTCGCTGCGACGCATGCTGTTGACTCTTCCTGCAAAATCCGCGCGGATCCATGAAGGCTACGACTGAAAGTTGCCAACGATGCTTCTGTTTCACTGCCGCCAACTCATATTCGAGCTCCGCTCAGAGTCCGTCGCGGCGATGGGCGCGTGGGCAAGCCCACAAGGCGCACGCGGATGGCCATTGCAAGATTCCGTCGCGTGAATATTCTTCGTGTGGGAGGGTGTGATTTAAATAAATATTCAGTTATCAATAGAAATGCCAAGATATTGGGAACAAATACAATAAAACGCCCTTCGTGGCCCGCAGTTTGTAACATTTGCATCTTGCCACAGTGCCGACGACGCTGCAGCATGAGCACAAACAAAGACGGCGAGCCTTCCAGGCGTCCTGATGGTAGGGCTTCCGAGATGACGGGCAATGGTAGAACGAACGGGATGCATTTATGTAGATACCCCTTTCAAGCAGCAAAAACTGAAGGCATGGCAGCCGATTTTGACCCCGGCATGGGTCATCGGCACGTATTTTCTGGTGGGGTTGATCTTCGTCCCCATCGGCGTCGTGCTGTACCAACAGAACTTGGACGTACGTTATGCAGAGTCCGTCGTGCGGACCCCTTCAGTTGGAACGACATCTCGTGTAGGTCGTGGAAATGGCAATCCAGTACGACGGACTAGACTCTTCATCCGGTCTGGCCACCCTTGGCGCGAGCGTGCAAAACTTGAGTCCGACGTCGTCGTGCTCGTTGCCGAACGACAGCGACGGGAACTCGTTCAACTTGACCAAACATGGCTGCATCGTGTCGTTCAAACTCCAGGAAGACATGAAAGCGCCCATTATGGTGTACTACCAATTGGACAACTTTTACCAAAACCATCGCCGATACGTTCAAAGTCGCAGCGATGCCCAACTTCGCGCGCAACCGCTCTCATCCCCTCCCACGACGTGCGACGGCGCCAACGAGACAACCGAGTTCAAGTACAACTCGATCGACGATCTGCCCGCCACGGCCGTGCGCCAAAAGTACAAGTTGAACCCGTGCGGGCTCATTGCCAACAGTCTTTTCAACGGTATGCAGTTTCGACTGCCTGGCTTTTCCGTGCACCTCATGGCCGGCTAGACATCTTCTGGGTGCACAGTGTGTCGCTGCCTACCGGCCAGTACCTCAACCAAACGGACGTCTATGCGGGCAACACGACCGTGGTCAACTTGATGGATCAGTCCGACTTGGCGTGGAAGTCGGACCTCGAGACCAAATTTAACAACTACGACACCCTCGAGGACGACAACTTGTATCTGTGGCAGAACCCCAAGTACCGCTGGATCATCCCGTCCAAGGTTGGCCAGGAGCCTATTCTCAACAAGACTGCGTGGACAAAACCGACCACGCACTACGGAGTCGAGACGGAGCGGTTCGTGTTATGGATGCGGACGGCAGGACTGCCCAACTTCAGGAAAAAATACGGCCGCATCAACACCGATCTGCCCAAGGGCACGGTCCTTCGCTTCTTGATCTCGAGCAGTACGTTGTCGATCGGGTCGTTCGGATTGTGACGATACCTGTGTATGCATGTGCAGACTTCCCCGTGCAGAGCTTTGAAGGCCGCAAGTCGTTGGTCATTTCGACACTGTCCTGGTACGGTGGCCAGAACGCATTCCTCGGCCTCGCGTACATTGTCGTCGGCGGCATTTGCATCCTCCTGAGTCTGTTCTTCTTCATCAAGCACAAGCTGTCCCCTCGCAAGTTGGGCGACACGAACTACTTGGTGTGGCGCGGCAACAAACCGACCTAAGGCATGCTTCCTCTGTGCGCGAAGTCCGTGCCCTCGACTTCTCCGTTGAATATATCCATGGCGGCCCCCGCTTTCTCCGCTCCCATGTCTTCTCCATCGCACCTCCTGCTTCTGTCTCTGCTGCACAAATCCGGATAACGACATCCGTCGTGCGACGAATCCGGATACTAAGCCGACCGTTTCGCAATTGCATACAAAGTTTAAGGTTAAATCAGAAGAACAGCTGCAGGAGCAATGTGGTCGTGACAGGCCCGTTGCCCAATTTGCAGGCATTTTGCACCATTTGCATGCATCATGTGATGGTTGTTACCGTCGTCGAACACCATCACGATGTTCGACCCAATCCACGTTTTGACGGCACAACATCATCGCGCCGCCATGTCTCGCTTCCTGAACGAACCCCTGACGGACAAGAAGTCCGAGACGTACACCGAATCGGCGCTCGGCCTGACCATTGGTGTGAGCTGTATGCAGGGGTGGCGTGAGTCGATGGAGGACGCTGAGCTCGTCGACACGTCACTGCCAGGATTGCATAAAGTGGCTCTGTTGTCGATTTTCGACGGCCATGGCGGCGACTTCATTGCCAAGGAAACGTACGTCGTTCGCTCCATGATGTCGTCTAGAATGGAACGAAAGTCGCACTCGTTGTAGCGCGAAGCAAATTGTGGACCGGATCGTGAGCACGGACGATTACAACGCCTTTGACGGAAAGAACCCGTACACTCTCGTCAGCGCGCTCAGCGAGGCTTTCCTCCGGACTGACGACGCCCTCCGTGAAGCGCATTTGGACGGCACAGCGGACGAAGTCGGAGCGACGGGGCTCGTGGTCCTTGTCACTGAGCGTCACATCATATCGGCGAACGTCGGTGCGTGCCACGCACCTCCGTGTTCCGAGATCTTATTCATGTTGCAGGTGACTCGCGATGCATTTTGAGTGACAAGTCCGGCCAAGTGCCGATCCAGATGTCGCTCGACCACAAACCCGACCACGAAGCTGAAAAGCTCCGAATTATTGCCGCCGGCGGCAACGTTTTCCGCGGCCGTGTCTGCGGTGGTGTGGCCGTAAGTCGTGGCTTTGGCGACTTTTGGTTCAAACGCAACGAAGAAAACAATCCCGACAAGAAGCCATGGGAGCACTTTGTCATCGCCGAGCCGTGTGTCAACATCCACGTGCGAAGCCCCGACACGGACGAGTTCCTCGTCTTGGGCTGCGACGGCATCTACGACGTCATGTCGAACGAACAGATTCAAATGTTCACGCGTGACAAGCTCGCGGAAGGCAAGACGCCGACCGTCGTTGCCGAACTGCTCATGGAAGAGTGTCTGCACAAGGGTAGTCGAGACAACATGAGTGTCATCGTCGCGCTGCTCAACCAGTAGCTCAGCCTAGCAATGCAGCAGCGAATATCCTGGGATAATCATGCTCATGTACATGGCCATCGCAACTGCGGAGCCGCGACAACCCAACCGGAGACAAACATGGAGGTCACGACCGAGACGTATTGAAGGGGAAATCAAAACAGATCGACGTGACGAATTGCACCGACGCAGCTACGCCTGGCCCCCACCTTGCCGCATGGCCTTGAAACGAGACACGCGCTTGGGCGGTGGCGCCATCCCGTTGTCCTGAACCTGGACGTCCATGATGCGTCCCGACGGGCCATCGTCGTCGTGGCATACCTCGGTGGAAGGGGCTTTCCGTTCCATGACAGATCCAGTAAACACCGTCGATTTGTCGCGTGCTAGGGCGGGCTGTTTCAGGCGCTGGACGTTCTTGTCGTTTTCTGCCTTGAGTCGCAGCTCCTTCGCAAGCGCCTGCGTCTGTTTGTCGCTCGGCTTGAGCTTGGACGCTTCTTCGTATGCGTCGGCTGCACGATCGTTGTGCCCGAGAGCTGCCAGCGCTTGCCCCAGACGAAAATATCCCTATGATTCCAATGGGTACATCCCCACCCACCACCACGAAACAAAAGAGATCACCTTGGCCCACGACGGATCGAGCGCTGTCGCGGTTTCGGCATCTTGTTGGGCCTGTTCGTACTGGCGCAGTTGGAAATGGGCTGCAGATCGATTCCCAAACAGCGTCTACGTCGCGAATCAAGCATCGATGGCGTGTTCTATACATGTGGTACATGGGCCATGGGCGTCAGCGCAATGGCTTTCGAGTACAGTTCGACCGCAGCCGAGTAGTTGCCCGAAGCAAACGCCGAGTTGCCTTGCTGCTTGATCGAGTCGGCCTCGGTCGCCGCGACAGCCTTTGTGTCCACCGATGCTAGACGATCTCGGTGACTCGAGGCCTCATGGAACCTGTACCTTCTTCATCCTGTTCGAGTTCGTCCATGCGCCGCATCGCTTCATCCCTACCATCCCAAACAACCACGTCGCGCCTTCCACACCCTCATGGCGACAACGCACCAGTCCCAAGCGGACGCCGCCTGCTTGGCCGCTTCTTCCTTTTCGATCTCAAAGTATGTGTCGTAGTCGTCTTGCGTAAACTCGGACGCGTCGACCGCGCCATTGCTTTCTTCTTCCGTCTCTTTGATTTCCTGGATGTTGGCATCCTCATAAATCTATGGGCTACATGACACATGCCCCGCGCATCGCCGCCGTCCACTTACCTTCTTCAAGTTTAGGACGTGGCTGACGTCGTCGAGCTTTGCGTGGAGAGACTGGAGCCACTTTTCCTGGCGCGCAATTTGCTTGACGAGATCTAGTCCAGAGAACGGGGTGACTCGACGACGACGACGCGGGACGTGGGTTGCACACCAGCCTTCTTGCGATCGACAATTGCACTCGTCTGACTCGCCGTCTGCTTCGCAAAGTGGTCGCCACCCAGATGCGCCAGGATTTCATTCGCGTGAATGATTTTCCCGGGAATAAACGCTTGTTTGCCCAACGGGACCATGATGTCGTGGTCCAATTGGGTGGGCAGGTCCTTCAACACACCGGCCAAGGCATCGTACGCCGCCAGATCCTTCTCCAGCACGTGGAGCTTGTTCGACGCATCCTGGATTTCCTACGAGCAATAGTTGGGAACATGACAGGGAACCGGCATCGTGTTGTGCATCTACTACTTGTTTGAGTTGCAATGGTTTGTGCGACAACGGTTGAAACTCTCGCGGGTTTGTCGACTTAGCTGCGTCGCCACCTCTACCATACGATACACGCGTTCTTGCATGCGCGGCGTCTATGACCAGATCGCGCTTACCTTGCCTCTTCCCGAGCTTCTTCTTCCTCGAGCTCCTTCAAGATGCTCTTCCACTTGTCGTAGTTTGACATGGTCGAATGATCAATGCGTCCCAGCCACGCCATTTGATTGGACGAAATTGAAGGGATCGCGCCCATGAAAGGCGGCGGCGCGGCGGATGCTCATGAGGCTCACGGTGAGTCCCGAGAGATGAGGACGAAGCCACCGACAAAACGAACTGTCGTGTGGGCTATTGGCGTCGTCGTTTTGCGATCTTCCCAGCAGGTCGCGATTCCTAGGTGCCTGCAAGTTGTGGGAGTTTAGCTGGCACTTCTCCACCTCTTGGTTGTCGTTCTGTGAGAGTCTCATTGGCAACGACTCAACATGCTTCGTCCCCTTTGCATCGCCAGATGCAAAGGTTAACTTATATAGACGCCATCAAGTTGTGCAAGCGATATGCTCCGCCACATTGCCCAGGCATACGCTACCGATTGCATCGACGTCACCCACATGCGATGGGAATTGCATTCGCGATGCCACACGTTGCACATCCAGATAACTCCGTCTATCCTGCTGATTCGGCATGTGTCGACTGTGCTGAACTCGGTCTTGATCTTGTTCGAGGTGTTGGCTAGAGTAGTGGCGTTCATCGTCGCGCATGCGCTTGGACAGCATCGAGGGCGTGGGCGGATGAAGCTCAAAACCATCCAGTTATGTTTTACCCTTTCGTTGGAGGACAAACTTGGCGGATGCGAGGACCACTTGGGCATACCACAAGTGCATCGGCACGACTATGAACTTGACGAAAGGAAGCGCCATGGGGTGCAGGGCCTGCACGAGGTCAAACGTGGATCCGAACTGGACCGTGCGACCGTCGTCCGCCACAGAAAGCCATGTATGGCCGTTTACATCCATGAAGTCGTTCCAGCAAAATAGAATTTGCCCTGGCGTACGCTCCACCACGCGGAACACGACGACTTTGTCGCCGACGTCGAACGTCGTTCTGTCAATCGTGTCATCCTCGACGCTTCCAAACCCAGCAAGACTTAGAAACGCACGCTCGGCTTGGAAGACAGGGGACTGAAAGAATGCTTGAGCTACGTTCTCGATGGCATGGCCATCGTCCAACGTTGTCTCGAAGACATCCACGTGCTGGTAGTCGACAAATCGATTCAGCAGGCTCGTCGATCGTAAAGTCGAAAGGTTCAACGCATGAATGTCTCGCATTGTAATGGCGAATGCTGCGATCATAGAGGCTGTCCCGATGGACGTTAGAGCAATCGGCAGCTTCCGAGATGCCATCCTTCCACGCTGATCTCGAGTTCGTCATGGACTTGATCGAGTCCCATCTGCATCTAGTAGTACTAGTACAGGACGTTATATTACTAAATAGATTCGTCGCCTACTTTATCTTGATGAATGCATACAACAACCAATGCAGGTCTGGCTTCTCGAACTCGGTCAAAATCCAATTCTAAATGCATTTTAAATGAAGCAATTCGTTGAGAAGTGTGTATTTTAAATGCTGCTGCAATGCTTTTTACAACCCAAATCAAGCCAGTAACCATCCGAGTTTCCAGTCGCAGTACTCTCCCATCCCCCAAGAAGCGCGCATCATGTCCCGCTTCCTGTCCGAGCCGATCACGACAAAGCAGTCCCATCAAGTGACAGCACCGAAGCTTAACTTAAGCATCGGGTACAGCTCCATGCAAGGATGGCGCGACACGATGGAAGACGCGGATCTGGTCGAAGTTGACATCCCAGGGAACGTCAACGGCGCATGTTTTGCCATCTTTGACGGACACGGAGGGGACCACGTCGCCAAAGCTGTGTACGTGCAGATAATGAACATGGATTGTGATGAGAAGGCATCGAGTTTACGCCATGTATCTATCCATGTAGTGCCAAGGAAATTCTACAAAACATCGCTGACACGGACGACTTCAAGCGCTACGATGGATCTGACCATCGCGTGATGGTGACCGCGTTGAGCCAAGGGTTCCTTAAAACCGACGACTCGATTCGAAACAACGAAGCAGTGGGGGGCAACGCCGACGAAGTTGGTGCCACTGGCCTTCTCGTCATTGTCACGGAAAAACACATCTTCTCGGCCAACATCGGTGCGTTGTGGACTGAAGTTGTCATGGGAACACACACAGTGCCTCCGTCTAGGTGATTCACGATGCATCTTGAGTAAGTTTCAAAACCAAGCCCCGATCCAGATGTCACTCGATCATAAACCGGACCACGAGACGGAAAAACTGCGCATCGTAGCTGCCGGCGGCACCGTCTTCCGCGGTCGCGTGTGCGGTGGTGTGGCCGTGAGCCGTAGCTTCGGTGACTACTGGTTCAAGCGCAACGAAGAAGGAAAGCCAGACAAAAAGCCGTGGGAGCACCTTGTGATCGCGGAGCCGTGTGTGAATGTCCAGCCCCGCGACCTCATCAAGGACGAGTTCCTCGTCCTGTGCTGCGATGGTATCTACGACGTCATGTCGAACGAACAGGTCCAGCGCTTTGTGCGCGACCGATTCAAGGCGGGCAAGTCGCCCAAGGAAGTGAGCGAGCTCCTCATGGACGAGTGCCTGAACAAGGGCAGTCGAGACAACATGAGTGTCATCATTGTCGTGTTCAACGCCAAAAAGAAGTAGCGCACGCGATACCCGATCTCATACAATCAAGCGATTTGCATTCTTAGCTGTCTCCACGAATAATCCTCGCCACATGAAGGTCGTTGGTGCATCGTCCATTGGATGTGCCTATCAGTCGTCATTGCTCTCGTACAGCGCTTCGATGGCTGCCTTCACGTCGCCGTGGCAGTCCTTTGGACCAAGCACAAGGGCATGGTTCAAGTGACCCAACGCGTCGGCGGTCCGACCCTACCCACTCGCGATCGTGACAACAACAGAGCGATCGACGCGCTTACGAGCTTGGCGTAGACCGAGCCCAAGGTGAAATGCACCGTGTAGTCCTTTGGAGCAGCGTCTTGGACCATGTGCAATTCCTCCAGCGCCTACTCGTGCCATTCGTGACGACGGTGCCATGCGTTGAAGCACACTGCAATTGTGCTCAACCTCTTCGAATCGATGGTGCAGGGCAAAGATATTTGCTTTGTGGTAGCGCGCCACGACGTTCATCGGGTGCAGCGCGAGCGCATTCTCGAGAGCCAACAGCGCGTCGTCGTCTTTCGACATGGCATGCAGGACCTACGCACGCTAGACGTCATCGCCGTCTCGATCGCGTCCCTTCGCCTTACCACGCCGCGGAAGCAGTGCAGGAGCGAGCTTTGGGCATTGATAGCAATCGCTCGACCGAAATGGTACTCTGCGAGCTGAAACTTTTCCTGCTTAAAGTAAATCGTGCCAAGCCCGCACCAAGCATTGTAATGGCGCGGATCGATGCGAATTGCTTGCCGAAAGCACGCCATCGCCTTGTCAAAGTCTTCGTTCGCCACGTACTCGTGTCCTGCCAGCGTGTACGCGTACGGGAACGTCGGGTCCACTTGAATGGCCTACCGACCAGTGCAAATATCAAGTGCACAACCCGTGCAAGGACTTCCAACCCGTGTGAAGAAATCGAGCGCGACGTCGTGCTCCTTCTGCAGACTAAAGCAGTTGCCTGCGACGCACCATGCTTCCGCCGACGCCTTGTCCATGTCGGTGACTTGCTGGGCTAAGTACGACAGATCAACGTCGCGCTTGAGGTGCCACAGAGTCGTCGAGTAAATGCTGATGCCATCGAGTCGGTCCGGGCACAGCGCTCTTTGCGTTTCAAATGCAAGCGCGGCCTGGAACGGACGACGTCGGCACAGCGCATAACATCATGGTCGAATGCCCATGTAGAGAGCAACCACGTGGTCGAAAACGGACGACCGACCTGCGGATATTGCGCCATTTCAAAGTGTGCCCGACCTATGTGCTGCTGCGCCCAAGCAGACTGCATCTGGCGCGGTGGCAGCGACGCCAAGTGATGCAAAGCGTCGGCGCATTGATACTAGTTGGAAAAATCGCAACTTCGTGAGAGAATCCAGTCATCGAGCTGGGCGTGGTACCAGGCACAGGTTTTGGTATGCCTCCCCACATGCTTGCAGTAACCGCATCACTTCCTAACCGCTTTACTCATGAGGATGGGCAATGCACAGTTGAGAGAGCACCAAATCGCCAGATGAATCAGAGTGCTTTGAATCACGAAGCGCGCGGCGCTGGTCGGGTGCGGTTTGCATTGCCTGTCTCCGTTGTGACCACGTCGTGCAAGCCATGCACGATCCCACCGTTCGATCTGCATCTTGCTCTGTGAAAGTACGACTCATGGCTTTCTTTCCTCGGCGTTGAGAGTGGCCGCTGCTGACCGATCTCGCGGTTGAGTGAACATCCAACGAAGAAGGTGGCGTGGATGGCGGCCGCAAGTTCTCGTCCAACCGGTCTATGCGTCATCGTGAGTGCGTCGATGAGTTGAAGGACGATTCCTCACCTGTAGGCCCACGAACATTGAAAAAGGACGACGCTGGCACTTCGCAGCCCAATTCGCAAAGGTTCTCGAACGCCGACCACAAGAACGGATCTTGGTGTAAACTACAGTCGAGAGAGTTGCGTCCACACCAGTGAAACACGTTGGGACCAATCCGTACTACCTCTCCTTGAAGCATTCGATTGCTTGGTCATTGCGGTGGAGACGGCGGTAGATGCGCCCGAGGAGGAAGAGCCCAGAAGCTCCGTTGGGAACGTTCAACTTGACAATTGCACCACCTCCCACGTGTTGTGCTGGCTTGGACTGCAGCAACGCATTCTCTGCATCGGTAAGACGACCACCTTCATAGCAACATAACGCCAGGAGGTATCTGTTTTGTGCTGATAAGATGCTTTGGCTTGGTGTCGCATGACGCTCGAGGAGTGCAATTGCTCGATAGCCGGCTCCTGAACGATGGTATGCTTCTGCCAACAAGCCAATATTGTCATCAGAAGCATGCTCCGCGACAAGTCTCTCTGCCAAGAAGACTGCGGTGCTATGCAGACTCTGATCCAGGTAGCGTTTCACGGCGAAGGTCAAGCTGCGCTCCATGATATGTCGCCGCTCTTGTATTGATTTCTCTCCAACACATCACGACGAAATCGTGCGATTGGCTAATTCATCCGGATAATATTTTCACATTCGATAACCTGGTTGGCATATATACAGTTTCAAAGGTAACGACAGAATGGAAAACAATGACATGCCGCGGAATGCCGCCCTCCATGGAGTGCCGCAACGAGGAAACTTCAGCCGTACGTCCTATACATGAGACGAAGGGTAGCACTGAAGCATGTCCTGTAGTGGAGGCTGACATTTTAAGCAAACTTCGCGACGTTCCTGTCAAGGTCGCCGCGGCAGACGCAAACCAAGGTACGATAGGAACATCTACGACAAACTGTTGCGCATCGTCGTTCCTACGCAATTCTGTCTAGAGCTCTTGCAGGACGTGCTTTCGTCATTGCGCCAGAAAGCCCTGGACTTGCAAAACGATAAGTGGATGTACGAAGACCTCCCGTTCTTGTGATATTGGTACTGCGTGCGCATTTTCCCGCAATGCACACGATCGGGTAAGATCGCAATGTGCTCGCTGTAACCACGCAACCCGTTGACACATCCGTCGTGGGTGACAAGGATGAAGAGTTTGTAAGTTCATTCGAGACCGAACATAAGTCACCATTTCATTCGACGAGGTCTGAAATTCCATGTCGATGGATTAACCTTCCAAGGTCAGTTCAACTGAACTTGGCACGCAGTCTTGAGCTCCATCGACCACCGCCCCGCTGGGATTCCCTAGCCGTTTGTCGAGAGCATCCACGACGGCCGTATGCTTTTCTTCTACTGCCAACGAACGAGCAGTGGAACAGTCCTACTTGATCGTATCAATAAACGAGCGCTGCTTCATCCATCGCACCAGCGTTTCGCGTGTCGGATCTGCACCCGCGTCAAGCAAACACTCGATAACGGCGACGTGACCCGAATGCGCCGCTGCATGAAGGGGAGTCCATGCGTCCTACCCAGACCAAGATCAAGTCCCTTTCAGAGAAACGCTTTACGTACGCAATCCAACGCATCCGAACGCATGAAGTGGCGCTTCTACTTACGACGTCAAGGACGAGATCAGGTGCAAGGACGACTGCATACATCGGTTGTGGCGTGGATGTTGGCGCCGCGACGCAGCAGTTCGTTCACAACAGCGACATGACCTCGTTTCGACGCCGCGTACAGCGCGGTCTCTCCAACCTACAAAGTCGTCCATCGGCCTCAAAGACATCGTGGGCCATCACACCCATCCTGTGTTCTTCCATTCGATGTTTGCACCTCGATCCAAGTACATTTGAACGCCCGCAAGGTCCCCATTCTTGGCGGCAATGAACATGTTCTGTTCCTACTTGCATCACATACCATCAACCCACCTCTTCCGCCGATCCTTTCATACGCTCTGACCTTGCTTCGGAACCACGCCATCATCTTTGCCTCCTTCGCTTCCGTCGGAAATGGCTGGAAATTCAACCCAGCGACAAACCTCGCAATACGATTGGCTCGTAATTATTTTTTCCGAAATTCCTGCGACCGCGATCGCACGGCGGATGGGAGGTCTGTGGAGGGCTTCGGCGGCGTGTATAGGGCACGGACAACGAGTGTCTGGGCTCTGGCGCATGTGATTGCATACATCAAGTCTTGACCTTGGACAGCGGTGCGATGCCTCGCCGACAAGTCTACCTCGCATGGACGTATACGCTACCAGCAGCGCCGTCGGTACTGTGAAACATCAAGAACAATGGCACAATGAAGCGGCTTGGTTGAGCTGGACATGCACACTTTCGTCGTTTTCGTGGGAGCGTGTGGCCGAGACATGGGATGTGTCCAAGATATTGGTGTGGCATCGCCGGGTTCCCCTGCATCGGCACGTAGTGTCGAGTTGAAATTCGCAATAGTTTAAGGGACCAATTCTAGGCGAAGCTCAGCATCGAGTTTAAAATGTGGTGCACGAGCGTGTACTGCGAGTCGCGCGCGTCGTCGGGAATTTGGCCCAATGTCGCTTTGAGCTCATGCATGACGCTTTGTACAAATGGAGCAATCGCCGGATCCTTTGGATTCATGACGAGCAGCGATTCCCGCAGCCACTGAAGATGGAGCGCCAAGTGCTCCAGGTTGAGCACGTCGCTGCCCAGCTGCTGCACTAAACACAGCACAATCATCTGGGACAGCGACGACGGTCGCTTCCCCAACACCGCGGTCGGCTCAACATGTTGACACGCATGGCGCACGAGCGCAACGTTCTCGGCGCCGAGGGCGAGCTGGAAGCCTTCTTCGTACTGGTGGTTATCCAGCAGTGCTTGGATGGCGTGGCACTGCTGCTCAAACACGTGGGTCGCGTTGTCGGGTTCGTCTGCGAGCGATGCGGCGCCGTCCGTCGCGCCGTTCGCACCAACGAGCGCGGGGAGGGTCGCCAATTGTTGACTCACTTGGCCGAGGGTGTGAGTGAGTTGCTCTAGCTGCGTTTGGAACTCGGTCAAGTTGCCATTCGACTCGATGATCTTGGCCCGCGTGCCCTTGACAAACGTGTCTTGAATTTGCTCAAACATGCGCTGCGTTGCTGCTTGGAACGATGGAATGATGTGGCTCTGGAACGTGTCTCGGAACGCATCGCGGACGTCCTGGCTGTGCGTCGACGCGGGCGCTCCATTGGCGGCCAAGGCGTCTTCCACGGCCTTTTGTATCGGCTTCAACACGCTGTTCTCCATCGTGTGAAGCACGATGCGACCGATTGCCGGCACGACGACGCCCTGCAAGTGTTTTCGGACCGTTTTGTCGAGCTGGACACTGACTTGCGCCGCAAAAGCAGCGTACTGGTCCTTCATTTGATCGTGGTGTCCCCGCTGTTGGAGCTCGAGGCGTCGCAGCTGCGCCAGAATCGCCGCCGACCCATTTCCGCTGTCACCAAGGCCCGAGTCGTCGAGAAAGCCCTCGTGGTTCGACACGGACGTCGGCGACGATGCATGTTCTGCCGTCGGGATCGGGGGCGGCATCGGTAGTGACGACACAGATCGAGGCGACGAGTTGCCAGCGGGGTTGTTGCCGTGCCGGTGCAGCTGAGTCTGCGTGATCATTGCGTCCATGTCACGGTGGTCTTCGTTATCGCCGTTCGTGCTGCTCGTGCTGCGGCCGCCGACAGACCCGCCGCCGCCGTCGGTCGCAAGCATTGAGCTCAGCCCTTCGTCGCTACCATTAAAGTCGTTCACGGTGATGGAAATGTCCAGTTCTAAGCCATGCAATCACGTCAAGCTGTCGCAGAGGGATCGATGAAGGAACAACAATGTACCTGTTTCAGGAGACGGTGGCAAGTTGACCAGCGCGCGCGGAGACTCGGCGGCGGACTGCTCGTACTTGGTGTCGTCGTCCTCTGCGGTCAATGCACCAACCGACTGCCCAAGTGTGTCGTACTGCGATGGCAATGGATGGGACGAGCCGGACGACGAGGAAGCCGCGGGATGGCTCGACGGGCTCTGGGGATGATGGAGCGGGCGAGCGGGAGGCTGCTGGGGCGACGGCGCGAGAGTTGGAGGCGGTGCAATGTACACCGTCGTGGACGGCACGTGGTATCGCTGAATGGCTTGCGTTTGAATGCAGTAGAGCTGCATCGCGTCGTCGTGGGGTTTATTCATGACAGTCATGGAAAGGATCGGGAACGCCAGCGAGAACTCGGTCACGTGGTCGAGGGTGGCGCTGCCGCCGCGAGGCTGGGGCGGGCGAATGTGGAAGACCAACAGCGTGGCGAGGCTGCGGTCGGCGACGTAGATGAACTCGTGGGTGGCATCGACAACTACTTCATGGGCATGCGTCGAGTTGATTCGGACGGTTTGAAGTGCTTGGGGCTCGTCCACTGGCGAACTCCACATGCTCAACACTGTGTTGCCTTGACCCCCAATGACCAAGCTCAGTTGCGCCGCGTGCGGGAGAAAGTTCAAGCTGTTGAGCGGCGCGCTGTTGAGCGGGTTGAACCCTCGCACGTAGTCGGCTTCTTCGCCGCGCCCGAACGAACCCACTTGGTACACGTGCACCAACCCGTCGGCACCCGCCGTGACCACATGCTGGCCATCCGGCGTGAACACTACGTCGTGAATGACGCTCTTGCTCTGGTTGCACCCGACGCTGCTCCCGCGCAAGTCGAATGGATCGTCCGCGCCGTTCGGAGTCGTTAGATCAATCACAAATACCGACGCGTCTTGAGCAATCGCGATCTTGGTCGAGTCGACGGGGTGCCACTTTACGCGCTGCGCACGCACGGGAAGCGTCCGCACAATCTCGCGCGACATGGGTTTCGACGCGTACATGTCTTCGGCGAGCCGCCACACAACAATGTAGTTGTCTGTCCCGGCACTGAGCAAGAGATCGGTCGTCGCGTTGAAGAACGCGAGCTCGGTGACGGCATGTTGCTCGTGCTTGCGAAGGAGGATGCGGTTCACGCTCGACTGGTTGATCACGCGGATGAGCCCGTTCCGAATGGGGTACGAAATGTAGTGCTCATTCACAGAGATCAACGACCCGATGTCGGACGCGCGCTCCGATACGTACAGCGTAATGGGAGTCACTTCCAGGGATCGCGTGTCGGGGTCGAGCTTGGGGTCGTACACCGGGGTATGGCCAACGAGACGGGAACCAGGACGCACCACCCCGGGAGACGAAATCGACGCCGAACGGAGCGGCGGGATCGGGGGTGGCGGCATCGTCGCACCTCCTGCGCTCACCGGTCGATGGAGCGTCGGTATGGGCAACGAGTGCGGGTGCGACGAAGATGACGACGAAGGGATGTGGTGCTGCGGTTCAGATGCTGACGTCAACTCAGGTTCACCCGTGGGGTACCCACTGCTACGCGGACCTGGGAACGGACCAGGAGGTGTTCGTCCTGGAGGTGGCTGTTGCAAGGCCAAGTTCGGAAAGAGCTGACTCAGCATGTGTGATGATGGAGGCAAGTGGGGTGGATGCATAAGGGGTTGATGGGGAGGAAGGTGATGCTGTTGGAGATGTTGCGGCGGCGGTAGGGGTGGAGGGTGGTGGTACATTGGTACATGCTGCTGCTGTTGGTGGTGGTGGGGATGGTAAGGATGCGGCGGATAGTTGGGCACATTCGGCGGCGGCGGGGCGTGCGCCACATGCGAGGAGGATCCATTCGACGAAGCCACGGATGGCGTCGGGCTTGGCGCGCGGCGCGACGTGTTGTCCATGGCCGTACGTGTGCGAGTTTTCCAATAACCTTCGTTGCGGGCCCCACCTGCCCGGTTCAGGTCACTTGACGGTTCACTTTACCGTACATTGAACACCAACTTTTCATTTGGAAATTGTATCGATGCCAACCCATGCCAAAGTCCCGTTCGTACACCAATCTGTTCTGTACTGGACGGCGAAATGGAGAGAAATCACTGATGTTGGTTGAGTGGTCATGTACTTGTACGTATAATGTACGCTTTGTGTACTGCCTTCTCCAGGATTTTTCACGACACTTCCATGGGCTGAGCAGGTTCGATTGAGCTTCGCACGGACGCGGTTGCATCGGACTCGCCATGGAACAGTCGACAAGGAAGGCTGAGGATCCAATCCAGTACAGGGCGCGGCAGGGTCAACAACTTGCACAAGGGGCCACGAGGCGCTCCATCGCGCTGTGGCGGCTCGTCCTATGTGGGTTTGCTATGCTGGCGCTGTGCTCGATCGGCCTGTTCTACCAAGTGCAGTTTCTCTCGATCACAACAGCCCCACAACACATGCGGTCCGAGCACCTTGTACAATCGCAATCTGCTTCACCACCACGTTCATCCGCACAGCAACGACAGGCGGTAGACCTATTGGATGACGACATCTTGCGACCTGGAAACCCATATCCGTCGTACGTCTGCAAAGGGTGGCGGCAAACTGGTGGCTGCGACCCCGATGGCGAACGAGAGCCTGGAAACGACCTGGGATGCAACGCTGCCATTTCAGGAGGCCTGTCAGGGTACTGCGAATTTTTCAACCCCGTCCAGAACGAGACGGTCCATCTCATGAAGATGTCGTGCGGGTCGCTTCGCAAGCACGTTTCGTTCTCGTGCAACATGACGGCGGACACTATCATGTTCCACCAGTATGCTGCTGTCTATCGCCATCCTTGGAATGTACGTTGTATCGATCCGCTTCCACCCGAATGTAGGCCGGACGTGGTGCGTCATCCGGCTGCACTCTGTGTAGATGCAAGGCACCCCCGAGTCCCGCAACTTTATCGACAGCAACTCGTTCACCGGATTGGACTTCCATGCGACCACGCCTCGGAAATACCCTGATCGGGCCTGGTACGATCAAGAGACGACGGAGTCGTCGGCGGTGACGCGCCAAACGTCGCGCGGAATCGTCATGGTCGTGTATGGCAAAGCGCTTGTTCCATTGTATGCGACCGTGCAGTACCTTCGCCACGACCTGGCATCGACCCTTCCGATCGAGATTTGGTATCGTTCGGATGAAGTCAACCCGCACAACAACTCTGTCTTGGCCGCGATCGCGAACCTTCCACATGTGCACATGCGCGAAATCCTCGATCCACTGGCGCAAGGGTTTTACGTGAAGCCGTACGTCATCTTTTTTTCCCAGTTTCGACAGGTGCTGTTCCTGGATGCGGACAACCTGCCACTCCACGACCCCGCGTTCCTCTTTGATACGCCGGAATTCAAGCGCGATGGCGCGATCTTCTGGTGCGGGCGATGCTTCATGCATGGCTGTACCTGATCGACCGCCTAGGCCCGACTTTTGGCACCCCGAGAACACAATATTCAACGTCCACCGCGGCAGCTTTGTCTGGACGCTTCTCAACCATCCGTTTGTCGACATGTTTGAGCAAGAGAGCGGCCAACTTGTCATTGACCGCGCGAGATGCGAACGCGCGCTGCACCTGCTTATGTTTTACGCGTTCCATCGAATTCGGCCCCAGGAACCGATCGAGTACTCGATGTTGGACGACGGGCCAGTGCTTCCCGTGGACCCCAACTTGATCGCTGCACTCGCGTTGGTGTGGGGGGACAAGGACCTGTTTCGTCTGGCATGGCTCAAGACCAACACATCGTTCTACATGGTCGAGCGGCCGCCGGGAGCGCTCGGCGTGTATGGGAAACCGCCGATGAAAGGTGATCGTGGAGGGTTCACCCCGGAAGACGACGAAACCCTGCCCGTTCGCTTCTGCGGCAAGGCCATGGTCCAGTACAACATCGGGAACCAGTCGCAGGAACCGTTGTTTCTCCATCGGAACACTGTCAAGCTCAGCCAAACAAACACGACTCGCGTGAAGCAGTGGTTTGCGTTCCAAGAGCTGCGGCCGTCCATCGCCAAGTACCAAGACGTCAAGGACAAGTACGTGATTCAGGCGTGGGCAGAGCGCACGAGCTGCTTTGGCGAACACCTCGGCGCCACGGAAGCGTTCTCGCTCGCTGACACGAACGGCACCATTTTTGAAGCAGCAGAGGCCCAACTGCTCAAGTACGCAGACCAAGCCGCGGCGATGCTTCCTCCGGAAAAAACGCCGCCGCCGGCGAAAAAACGACCGATTGCGCCGACCGTCGCGCGCTCGCATCCCATCAAGAGTCCAGCCGCCGAGCCAGACCTGAAGGACCTCATGCTTGGATAAATGCCAGCACAAACGTTTTGAGTTGGAGTGTCGCCCGTGCTCAGTAGAGCACAGATGTAACAATAGCGTCATGCCAAACTCGGAGGCGCTTGTTCGACGGAAAAGAACCCACACGCCGGGCGGAGGTCCCCTTCATACACCAGTAGAACTCAGCTGCATCATGTCATAAATGGTCCATGGGTAAAAATTGCCGCACACCCTGGTTCGTAGCCGTCGTCAACTTTGTCGACCAGGTACGTCGCCATGCCCTTTGATATGCTTCCAGAGGTCTGCATTTGCACGAATGCGACTCCCATGCAATGCTGTCCGCACCGCTTCCAACGTCTGCGCGAGAGCCCTTGGTCCGTGTACTCTCGTAAGCTCAACGGGAAGGAAGCGCTGTACGTGGCACGATGCGCCATGGCATGCCGTGCCTTCATCCCCGCCGCGAAACACACTAACGTTATGGTCTCATCATGGCCATGGCGAGTCTTTGTCTACACAACCTTTCCTTCTCTTGTGGTACTGGAACTGGTACCTGTGCAGCTGTGCAGCAGACCATTTTGACAACCCGTCAAGAGTCCGTCACTGACCACCACATTCCAAACACTGTCATCCCTGTCGTGCATGGGATGTACATCACGATGATCATGCCGACACCATGACCAAGATGCAGCCTCTGCGAGCAAGTCGTGGGTGTCGTCGAACGGCGGGCGCGCGCTGTGGCAAGTCGTTGTGGATTCGGTCGTGTGTGTGGGATTGCGAGGGACGCCCCGATCGACTGCGTCCCATGGCTCACCTCGGACAGTCGTGGAGTCGAGGCGCGGTCGAGGACATGCGGCCACCGACGACATGCCTGGAGACGATCCACGTGGTGGTCGACAACACCAGATCAGACGATCTCGGCCAGTGACACGACCAATTTGTTGATGTAGGGAGTTGATCGCGCAGAGGAAACTTGGAAGTGATTCAATTGTCATCGTTGATCGTTCTAGCTAAAGATCGCTATGCAGTACTCACGCGACCGTGTCGCGGGTGCGGCTAGCTGCCGACTTCTACAGACCACGCACCCTCGACGTCGTGATATCATCAGTTAGGTGCATTTAGTCGCTACAGTTGATGTCGGCGTCAACAAAGCACGTGGCAGCCACAAATGGCCACAACGGACTCCTGTCCACGGCACCAACTCGTGCTGCTGCTACGACGCAAGTACAACAATTAAGCTCGGAGACAATTTCAGGTCGAAGCCCCGATGTACACCCCGAACAAACACCACAAGATATACATGTATTATGTACACAACAACACACTTGTCGTTGATCGACTACCCCTTGCGGCTCTTGACGACGGGGCATTTGCCTGTCGTGGGGTCCAACTTGCCGTTGCCGCCCGCAATGCGGTAGCACTTGGTCGACGGGTAGATGGCCATGATGCTGGACGTGACGGAAAACGAGATGCACGACAGGAAGACCACGATGAGGACGATGCCGGCCAACTTGCTCTTGCCACCCTTCCGCTTCAACTCTTGCATGGGTTCGCGCTGGGGAGGGAGCATCCACAGCCATGCCAACGCAAACAACTTGCACGCGTACGAGATCAAATACGAGTACGTGACGTCCCATCGGACGGCGTCCGTGTCCGCCATGATGTCGTTTTGGGACAGCGCCAAGTACGAGTTGATGTATTTGGTGACGACGGACGCAAACGGCGACGCCAAGTTGGAGACGGTCGTGACGAGGCCGTAGGTCGCGCCTTCGTTGCCGACGTCCGCGATCTCGACGGCGCAGAACGTCGACACGACAAAGCGAATGCCGGCAGGGACGTTGTCGGCGAGCGCGACGCCCGTGAAGAACCACTGGTTGCGCACAACGTCCCAGATCGTGAGGAAAATGACAAACCCGTCAATGAGCATGACCCCGATCGACCCGAGGGCAATCGTCCACCGCCAGTTCCAGTGCAGACCCCACTTGGCGACAACGACCAAGATGCCGGAAAAGATGGCGTTGCCGACGATGCCCGACAACGAGTCGTTGAGCGGCTCGACGCCGGCCCAGATGCTCGACATGGGACTGCCCGCCGTCGAACTGATGTTCTGGAACATGTTGTTGATGAACCGGAACGCGCAGATCTGCCACATCACACGCTTCTGGAGCAGCTCCCAAAAGCTGCCGACCCACTCGCGGAACGGCACGCCCGCCGTCTTTTGCTCTTGCACGACAAACACGGTCGTCAGCACCACCATCACGCACGGCGCCAAGCAGATCCCGTACGGCACGTTCGGCGCCATCGAGAACGAAAACGATCCGTTGTAGTTGGCGCCGTTCAAGCCAAACCCCGTCACGATCAACGCCAGGATGCTCGCCATCGTGCGCACGACGTAGATGGCCGTCTGGACGCGGCCGCGGATCGCCAGAGGCTCGCGCTGTGCATACTGGCACACCATCGCGTCCGACGCACACGCCGCCGTCACGTACCCCAGCGACACAAACATGGACAAAATGATAAACAGCCCCCCGCTGTCCGACGCGAGCAAGTTGAACAGCTCCTTCTCGGCCGCCGTCGCGTTCGAGTACGGCTTCGAGCACGCCTTCGACTGGATCAATGCCGCCTTCTCCCGGTTGCAATACGGGTCGCCCAGCGACGAAAACGTCATGATGGACAAACAGAGCATGGTCGCCGACCACCCGATCAACATCCACGACTTGCGACGGTACCCAAAGATCGGAAAGCAGTCGGAGAACATCCCCATAAACACTTTGAACGACCACCCGAGCGTCACCAAAGTCCCGTACGACGCCGTCTGGTACCCCTCGAGCTGCAGGTACACGTTGAAGATGGGGTAGTTGAGCGACGGAATCATGCCGTAGATGACGCCGATTGCTGCGTATTGCGAAAACAAGCCAAACGCTTCGCGGGAAAAGAGGTCGAGGGCCCCGCCCGCCACGAGCGCGCCGTCCTCGAGCTCGCCTGGGGTCTTGGCATCGTCATAGCTCTTGTGGTCGCCGTCTTTCGTGGCCGACTGGATGTACGACACGCGCTCTTGGAGATCCATGTTGCGGCCCGCTTGCATTTTGGCGAGCCAATCCAACAATGACGGTGCGACGACCGTCCAAGCTCGGCAGAGAGAGAGAGAGGGGGGGGACACTTGTCGCACGAAAACATGTCTGGGGCCGCTGGACGTTCGACACCTGGTCCACATGGTCATCTGGGTAGAACGGCGGGCGTGCGCTGTTGCAAGTCGTTGTGGATTCGGTCGTGTGTGTGGGATTGCGAGGGACGCCCCGATCGACTGCGTCCCATGGCTCACCTCGGACAGTCGTGGAGTCGA